ACCAGAATATGTCAAACAAATGCTGGAAATGTAAGATTCATGAGGGCTCATTTTACCATATGTGGTGGACTTGTGAGAAAGCTGTAGATTTTTGGACAAAAGTCCACAAAGAAATGCAAAAAATATTGAAATGCTCTTTCAAAAAGGCACCAGAAATTCTGCTTTTGGGACTGAAAATGGAAGAAGTCAACACGACTAAAAAGACTTTACTCTGGTACTTAATAACAACAGCGAGAATGATTTATGCACAATATTGGAAAACAGAGAAAGTGCCAGAGATCGAAGACTGGATACAAAAAGTTCTGTTCATGGCTGAAATGGATAAAATTACGAAAAAGTTGAATAACAAAGAAGATGACGTGTTTTTTCAAGAATGGAGTGACTTTAAAACATATCTGGAAAAGAACTGGGATGTGAAACAAAATTTAATATGTTTAGAGCAATATTAAGTTAAATGATGTTATCTTGAGATTGTAATGATAAGAAAATGATATAATTGATGATGTAATCTAAGGTGGAGCGGGGGGGAAGCATTGCGGGAAGCCAGAGGAGGGAGGGAAGGAAATGGGAATGGGGTAAACAATGGAAAAGATGAAATTGTTAAATTTTAAATGTTGAATTCCTATGAAAAATAAACATTTGTTTACCCCAAAAAAAGAACTGTGACACCACACAGCAGTCAATGTACTGCTGTATTTCTCATAAATTCTGGAAATGAACTTCCCCATGAGAAACATCATACTATATGTTTGTTTGGATATAAGTCTCATTCAGCATAGGTTCTATTCTCTCTGTCTGCAACAGACCCTTCAAAGTTTGTTTTACTTATCTGTTTAATTAGTTACTGCGTGTGGGTGGGTCTTTACATACTACAGCTAAATAAATTGTTCATTAACTTTTCTGTTTTACATTGTTATAATTATAATTTTATAGTGGTATAATTACAATAATAGAAAAAGGAAGAGAATAAGCAATCATTCTAGTTAAAAAAAACAGTCAAAGCTGTGAACTTGCTAGGAAATCCCACTGAGGTCAACAGAACTTACTTCTGAGTATATCTGCTTAGAATTGCACTGTAAGGTTCCTACTGTACATAGTGTTGGAAGTGAAGGACTTTGTGCTGAGCCTCAGCCTTCAGAAGGGGACTATGAGAGAGAGAGAGATAGGCTAGGACACTGGGCATCCTTTTCTTCTTTCCTCCAATGCTATCCCTTTGATGTGTAGATTGCTACTCATAGGAAAACTTCCTTCCCATCTCATGCATTCTCTCTACACTTTGTCAGACTTTTCTATCTGCATCTATCTTAGCTAGTAAGACTAGATTAGAATCCTATCTCATTCTATCCTGTCTAGAATGAAGTTCCTTAAATAAAAGGACTCATATAAGTTTACAAAGATAAAAAGGCTCCATGTGTACCTTTGTTTCTGGACAGCACACACTAATCAGATACACTCTGCTGCATTATGTGCCTTGAGCACTCTGCTAAATACTGATAACCCAACACTCTGCCATGGTGCTGGGGAGGATGGTTCTGACGGTTGACTATCCTCTGGAACCTCCAATGCACCCTGGCCATGCTCTATTTCCCCTTCTGTAATGTATCCAGCCCTGACATGTCCGGACATGCCCGGACTGGCCAGGCACAAAACCTCACTAGCTTCACGCTAAAAGACAATGGGCCAGTAGGATCCTAGCCAGGCCTAATGAAGGGGCTAGGTCCCCAGCCAGAAGGCCAATAGGTCTCTCGGTTACTGTAAACAGCCTATCGGGTGTGGGGTGTGTGTTTAGGTGTGTTTGGTGGCGGGTTTTCGGAACGAATATAAGCCGGCCTGCGAGCCGGCCAAGTGTCTTTGTTCCTGACTAAATAAAGGTATGCTTAGCTGAAATCACTCTCCATCTGCATACTTTTCACCTTCTGAGAACGAGTAACCCAGAAAGGCATTTGAAGAAGGTGTTTGTGGTGGGGAGACTTTCCTCCATTCTGTTGGAACTGAAGACAGTTTGACTGGAACCAAAGAGTTAATCACTTCTGGGAGCATCTTGGAACTGGAATGATGCTTCTCCTTATGTTTGGATTTGGAATGGGCTTTCTCAGGCAGGGGTTCCAATGAGCAGCGCTCAGCTGAACAGGTAGGCAATCTGACTCGACGCTTTGGTTCTGTCCCCGGAACTGATGGAACCAAGATGCTCGATGGCGGGTTCACACGTTGGTCAGTTCTAACTGGTAATTTCAAAGGTGATTATGCTCTGAGTTCTAACTGGTAATTTCAAAGGTGATTGACTATGCTCAGCCGGGGGAGATGTTTTCACTGCCAGGCTATTAAAGCAAGAGAGCTTTCTCTCATAAGCCTGCATTTAAGCATGCTGCTTGATCTGAGTGGGCTTTCAGGTTAAACGGGAAGCAAATCTTGCACGTGGCTGTATGATGGGCCTCACCTGAGCAGAAAAGGCAGAGAAAGTGTTCCTCCGAATGGGTCATTTTTGTACTGCACTGGGGACATTTTTTAAAACAAAGCCTTTGGCGATGTTTCCCAAGAGGGGAGAGTCCCCAGAAAGTAAAGAAAACTTCAAGAAAACTCACAACAACCAGAACTGAAGAGAACATGTCCTCACAACGCAGCGGTGAAGAAAGGACTGAGGGAACGTGTGGGGGCTTCTCCCTGCAGAGCACATGACAGTTAGGTGGGAAGATGGCCTCTAATGAGCTCTGCAGGGGAGGGGCTCCACTTGGAGTGCTAAAGAAATACCAGAGTAGCAGGTTAACAGGGAAAACACTGGAATGCACTGCTCATAAAAACAGCATGAATTAATTATATCAATTCCAAACTGAAATATATATGCATGTGGAAAAGGACAACATTGCAATTTTCTTCCTCAGGTACCAACATGTTATAAATGTCCTGGGCTGGCCCTGCAATTTAGGCTTAAGTTACTGGGAACTGTATGGTGCAACTTTGCACTGAGTTGCCAAAAGATTTGGAGAAAAATGTCATTTCTCTTTAATGGAAGTTTAGCATGTAAAAATGGGCGGCTGAAGCTTTTCCTGGCATGGAGACACATAATATCACTTCCAAAATAACATCCTATTAGGCTTCCATTAACTGGACAGGCCATTTTTTTCTCTCCAGGCAATTGGGAACTGTAACCATGTAGCTCAGCATTTGTCAAATAATATAAATCCAAAGCCCTAACCTTACTTACCTTTAAAGCCATATACAGCCGGAGCCAGCATATCTTCAGGACTGCCTTTTCCCTTATGAGCCCTGTAGAGCACTGAGGTCTACCAACCAACATCTTTTGGTAGTCCCCAATCCCAGGGACATTCGGCTTGCCTCAACTAGGGCCAGGGCCTTTTCGACCCTGGCCCCCACCTGGTAGAATGAGCTCCCATATGAGATCAGGACCCTGCGGGATCTATTACAATTCTGTAGGGCCTGCAAGACGGAGCTCTTCCACCAGGCTTTTGACTGAGGCAGCGGACGTCCCCCCCCCCCATCTCTCCGGTGACCTGGCCCTGAATAGTAATACGAGACTACCTACCCCTAAGACATCTAGCTAAACTATACACGGCACTTTATGAAAATGTTGTTATATGGCTTTCATCTGTTTTAATTGTTTCTAACTGTATTGTGTACTGTACTTAGATGGTTTTATGCCATTTTATGATGCCAAATGGCCTTGTTAACCACCCTGAGCCTGCTTCGGCGGGGAGGGCGGGGTACAAATTAAATAAATAAATAAAAATAAATAAAAATAACTTCTAAGAGTACGTATGTGTGAGGAAAAGACAGATCTGAATGTACTGACCTCAGTACAGATATAGGGGGGACAAAAGCCTCAATCATTGTTGGACTTGAAGAATAATTACTATCTTTGATGCTGATGATGGAGCTGGAAGTTTTGGCATGCTTGATCCGTCCACTATAAGAATAATTGAGTGGGAGGTTGAAGATTTTAAGTGTTGGCAGTTCATCTGAAACAGAGAAACAGCTGTAAAGCACAAATAACGGTACAAGATATGCAGACAGGGAAAGCTTTTCATTTCACGTGTTATTGTTTGTCTCTGTTGTAAGTAAATAGCATCTTTTATCAATATACTTCTCCACTTTGCTTTCAATCCCTTTGGACTCCAAACAAACTAATTAGAACATGCAACTAAGAAGAGGCTTAAAAACAATGCTGCTCTTATGTTCCTCAAGAAAGTCAGATTTTAAAATATGGACTGTATGTTTATAACACTCCACAGCGGTGTCTCAGTCTGTTACAGCAAAACCACAATGGCGTCTTGCAGCATGTTAAAGATGAATATATTGATTGTGGCAGCTTTTGTGGACAAGAGCCCATTTCTTCACATGAATCAGCTGCAACTGGCTCTTAGCCTTGAAAGCATATGCCACAAAACATCCGAGAGCTTTCAGGGTACCACAAAACTCTAAAATATGACTACCAAAATGAAACACAGTTAGGTTCAGGGCGTAGTTAAACTGTTCTGTCTGAGGTTTGGGTCCGAGAAAAGGAACCTGGACCCTGCCAGTCTCTATCCATGACCTACAAGCTCTACCCAGAATCTGCTAGTCTACCTTGACTCCACTTCACCTGCCAAGTTCCCTCAAGACCTGCTCCGATGCGCCAGGCAAGGGGATTAACAATTTTGAAATCAGAAATGCTGATGTGCCAGACAGCCGTCCCCCTCCAATATGCCCACTATAACTACTACTGAGCAGGCTCATAACTGATTAAGGGGAGGAGCTCAGTGGCAGGTCAATGGTTTTGCACACAGAACATCCAAGGCATTGGGTCTCAGGTTGTGTTAAGAAAGGTTATCTTTCTAGGCCTGAGACCATGGGGGACCACTGCCAGTTAAACTGCAGAGCTAGATAGACAAATGGTCTAATTTGATAGAAGGCATGTTATGGAGTTCAAGCTTGACCAATGTGGCCTAGCATCTATTTGCTACCAGAAGATGCATGCATCAAGCAGGGAGCTGATTCCTTTTCACCTGAATGCCTGCTTACCTTCTGTTTCTGGAAAAGATCTGTCATGCGAGTTAAAGTTTTTAATAAGGATCCGTGGATTCCCCTTTTCAATCCTCCGCATCGCCTCCCAGCATGGCGGGTGTTGGCAAGCAATCATATTGCAAATGGTTTCATCCCACTGGCTGATGTCTGTGGTTACCATTTTTGCAGCTCTTTCTTGGGTTAAGGAGCAGTTTGAAAACACTCTGTACAAGGAAGAATGTGAACCAGGAATAAGCACGTTTTGCAAAAGGAATGGATTACTGGCCGGTAACTACCCCAGCACCAGTAAAAACTGTGTCAGCCATCTGATGTCTTCTGGTCATAATTCACAGTACTGATGCTGGTATCTAAAGGCCTTAACACTTTGATTCCTAAACAGGGCACAGACATCAGTTCTGCTCTGCCATCAAGACAATTCAGAACAGTGGAGAGGGCCCTCTTAGAAGACTGTCATCTGCATGCCATATTTTAAACTAGGAACAGAGTTTTCTCAGCAGCAACACCTCATGTCTAGAACTCCCCCCCCCATCCCTGCTTCATCTGGTGTTTAATCTTTCCAGAGGCAAGCATCAGATAAAGACTTTTTTCTTACTCAAGTGTTAGGTTGATTTTTTTTTACCTGCAATATAGTGCCATCCTAAGCAGTTATACGCCCTCCTATGTACTTGGGAAGTATGTAACTCTGCTTAGGGCTGCACTGCTAGTTATTTCCCTTCCCTTCTCATTTGATTAATATAATGGTGTTTTGTTTCATGCTGGTTTCATTGCAGAACAAGTTTTATTGTTGTCCTTATAGCTGTGTGAGCCTCCTTGAAATTTTTAGTTCTATATCTTTATTTAGAGCTGCAGCGGCCTCTTGGTAATGGTAGAAAGTGCTGCCAAGCAGCAGTCAACTTATGGCGATTCTGTAGGGTTTTCAAGGCAAGAGATGTTCAGAGGTGGTTTGCCACTGCTGGCCTCTCCAGGAATTTAATTTTTCTTTTTTCTTTTCTAATGCTGGTTTTATTCTGTCATTACATTGTTTTTGTTATAAACTGCCTCAGGTGCCATTGGCTGTGAGCTGCAGTTTACATGTCTTTTAAATAAATAAATGTGCAAAAAGTACTTTTCAAGATACATTCTCAGTGGCTGTCTTACAGCCAAGCACCTCCATTTCTCTATAGCTCTAGAATCAGAACCTGTATATTTATGCCTTTAGGCTAGCATTTGACAGCCACGAGTAAACAGCTGTAGATCAACTTAAAATTTAATTGGATATGGATTAATTGGATGAAAGTACATAAATAGCACTGTTCGTAGAACAAAAGTAGCAACTTGTCTCACTTGGGAAAGCAGATGTACTAAGCCATCAAATACAATAACTGCCACAATTATAAGCAGTGGAAGAACTACAAAATAATAAAAAACCTAGCAAACTCTCTCTCTCTCCTTTTCTCCCTACATACAGAGAAAGAAATACAAAAGTTGACATATATAAATATATAAAAAGAGATCACTGGACTCTCTGAGAAGTGACTACGGTGGAGTGAGTGGAAAGACTAAAGTTTATGGAAGCACCAGATTCTGTTATTTTTAACAGATCTGAGCTCTCAAGAAGGAATAAGATAGAAAGAACCCTTTAAACACATTAAAATGCTAACCATACTGGATAAGCCTTGAACTGAGACTCGGTGGGAGTAAGACGTCATTCTAATTGTTCTCAGGTCTAGTTCCCGCAGACTGATAAAGAGGAAAACTGATGTTTGAGTTGCACCACCTCAGAATGCAAGTAATCACATAATGTATTGCTTCACCACCACAACAAAATATCCCTGCACGTAAAAAACAATCATGTTGGGGAGTATGCTAAGCTAAAACCTGACTTGCATCTTCTATGTATTTATTTTCTGTACAGAGTAGCATTCTAATCATATGAGCCAATACACAGTATTACTGCCTTATTTGTGTTAGTGAGATCTTGTAAACAGAACTTTCTAAAATGAGTGGAAGGTAAGACAGAGCCACTGATTATTTATGGCATTTTTGTTTTGCTTCATATTGGGGCAGTGAATGAAAAAGTCCATAAAGCAGTAAAAACACATCAAGTTTCGGGCACACACCAACATCCCCATTTAGAAAAACTTTAAAACCATATACCAATATACAAAATCAAACAACAGATCAAGAACATGGGTCAAATCATCAGAACAAACCAAGAACAATGATGTGGACTCATCTTATTTGTCAAAGTC